CCCCAGCACAGCAGGCTGCCTTGGGCTGGGTTCACAGGGAGGATCTCGGGAGATGCTCTTGAGCCAGCTGGAGAGTGGCATCCCCTCCTCCCGAAGCCCCTGCTGACCAGTGGGGCAGGGCCTGGACAGCCCCTGGGTGCCCCCTCTCCTTCCCTTGACTGCTTAGGACCCACCAGAGCCCAGCATGGAGGAGGTGTGAGTAGAGGGGTGAGGGACAGCATGCTGGGACGGCCAGGTGGATTCCTACACCTAGGGCACACAAAGTCACTGGGCCAGGGACACTGAGGCACTCACAGGTTCCTCTGCTCATAAATTTTGTCGGACCTCTTCGTACCTGCAAGAACGGGACCGGATTAGCAAGTGTTCAGAGTCAGGGTGGGAACTGAGACTCCCCTCATCCTGTCTGCCCTGTGCCCTGTGCAGGCCTAGGACAGGACACGGGGGCCTGCAATCACTGTGGGCCACCTGACACTGACAGGGTGTTTCTCACCGTTTATTTAGGAGAGCAGGGCATAGAGAAGGTGGACACCCCAAGCAGCCCAGCCTCCCCTCCCTTGTCCAGAGCAACCCCCTCACCCCTCTCCCGGCCCCGGACATACCCCTTGACCCAGCAAAACCAAAGCCTGATTGTATTCAGGGGCAGTTTGGGGCCAGCCCTTGGGGGAGTCGCCCCCGTATTGTGAGGCTTATCTGACTGACCCTTCTAACTACAGCTGGGTCTGGACCTGAGGGGGTTTCTGGGTACACTGCCTCCTCCATTGTGCCCATGAGCCCCCCTCCATACCCACCCCACCAGCCATCGTAATCCCTCCTTTACCTGGGCGGGAGCAGCGTACACACAGGCTGGCCACCAGCCCCAGCAGCAGCAGAAGGGCCACTCCGGGCCACAGCAGCTCCGTCTCTGCACTCATGTCTGCTCCTGGCCACTTCCTGCAACACTACAACATGGGGGCCCCCATGAACCAGTGTGGGAGGGCTAGAGGGCTACCACTCCAGGAACCCGCCCAGTCCCACACCCTCAGATTTCTTAACCCCACTATCCCCTGACAGCCCCACAGCTGAGTCTACGCTGTGGGAGCACCCTGTGCACCCTGCTGGAGGACCAGACCTATTCCTCCATCTGACCTCAGACATGTACTCTTGGTCCCCCAGGGCCAGCATCAATACGTGATAAGTGCTGGAAGGTTCTGGGACCCACCCGACGGCACCATGTCATGTGCACACTCCTGTATATGCTCTTGCTTAATTGACACAATTGCCCTTTGAAGGACAGGCTTACTCCATCTCACAGATAAAGAAACTGAGGCCAGAGATCTCACAATTGCTAAGTGGAAAGACAGGATTCAGGTTCCAGTATCCAGACCCTAACTCTGGCTTTGCCTACTGCATCTCCTCCCTCCTATAAATCCATCTTTCTTTCCCAAGCTCAAAGTCTGTGGACACCCTTCTGCATGGGAGCCCCTAGCAACCCTCACCCAAACCTAAGGCAATTTTCCGCCTCATCCATGGCCTCCTGGAGAAGGTGGGGGTGGGATTTCCATTCATTAAACATCTGTGCACCCAGATTCCTCCCATCTTGGGAGCTGGGAAGAGGGAGATCAGGGAAGGCTTCTTGGAGGAGGTGGGCTTGAGAACATGGGAGAAGCGTGCTCAGGGCAAAGGGACTTGGCATGTGCACACGGTGGCTCATGGTGGGATGTGGGGCTGGAGGAGAGAGGCTGCAGGGCAAGGAGGCCCTGAATCCCCGACTGCTGACTGCTGTCTTAATGGCTGGTCCCAGCCACGGCCTCAGTGCCACACTGCGATTGTTGGGCTTTGGCGATCAAAACCATGCACCAGGGTCAGGTGAAGGCAAGTGCAGCCTTCTTGAGGGAGTTTCCAAGGAGAATCATTGGAACTGAAAGGAGATTTAGCCCCCTCAAAATATTCAGGACATAGATGAAGGGCAGCAGGGGGTGTCTGAGGGGGCCATGCCCCAGGTAGCACATGGAGCCCCCACCACTGAGCGTCCACTCTGTGCACACCTGTGTGTCCTGCATCGAGCATCTGGGAGGAGGGCTCCCCCCTTACAGCTGGGGAGGGGTAGCCTTGGGGAGAAGATGAACTTCGCACTGCCCACCTCTGGCTTCAGGCTCCCCTGAAGCCTGTGTGCCCCTACCTGCACCCTCACCTCTTTGAGCTTCCTGAATGTCTGGCAAAGACAAGAAATCGTCACGCGGTGCGGAGCCCCGCTCAGGGACGGGTCACAGAGAACCACTTCTCCTTCCCCAGAACGCTGAGTAAGTCCGTGGGAACACAGACTTCCCAAATCTCGTGACGGAGCAGCCTCCACGGAGAAGAAAGATCGACCCCTGTCATGCAGGGTGTTGTTTGAGAGGGATCCGCTTGCCCTCCTCTCAGAGGCTGGGCACTGCTGTCCTGGTCTGCACACCTTGCCCTGCCTCCTGTGGCCGCCGCAGGGCGGACTCCTTCCCAGACTCCTGGGTAGCCCAAGTCCATCTCAGGCTGTTTGAAGTTGGGGACACCTGCCTTAGAGGGAGGTCTCCTGGGGTCAAGCCCTGCCTGTGCCTCAGCACCTCTTGGCCTCAGTATTCTCATCTGTGAAAAGGGGGTGAAGCACGTCCAGCCAGGCTCATGGCTGCGGCTTCCTTCAGAGAAACCTACTGAGGGTCTTACTTCCAGCTGGCTAGTTTGGACAGCTCCCTCAGGCTCCTGCCCCTCAGCAACTTTATCCTTTGGTTAGGACAGTGACTCTTTCTGTCCCCGAATTTGGGCATGGACACACGGGGTGGGTCACACACATGCCCATCCCTGAGAGCTGGGACATGAGTCCACCACCGGCCATCCCCAGAAGGAAGTCCATGCTTTCGACTTGGCCCTTGAAGGGCAGGGACATGGCCTGCTGACCTCTGGGGAAGGGTGGCCCTCCACCCCGGGGTCCCTGACTATGGGAGAGCCCTCTTGCTTCCTGAGGTGAAGCACACTCAGGGGTGGCCCCAGCCCTGGGCCACCTCCACCCACCTGGCGCTGGGGGAGGCTGGGGAGGGGAGCATGCAAATGCAAATTCTGCCCAGGAACAAAAATTGAATCCCCGTGTCATGGGCCTTTGGTCACCCCTTTGTTAAATGAGGGAAATAATGACGCTCTTCCCGTGGGTTTGTCACATGAGGCCTGGCATCGAGATGATGAATGGAAGGTGCTAGTGCAGGGTGGGGCACAGTTGCCTGTGACCACCATGACTGGCCATCACCTCGGTCCTAGGGGCAGGGGCAGGGGCAGGGGCAGCCTGTTGGGGCCAGAGCTGCCTTTGGGCCTGCAGCGAACAGTGTGGAGCAGCTCTATCCAGTGCCTTCTCCGCCTGGTCCCCGGACAGGCAGCCTGAGCCTCCCTCCATTGCCTTGTATGGGCGCTGCGCTGGGGCCCGAGAGGAGCTGGGCCCCAGGAGAGGCAGAAGAGAGAGTGGGATCGGAAGAGAGAGTGATCTTGTCCCAGCCCCTGTTAGTTGTCACAGACACCCGCAGCATCATGTGGGAGATGCCAGGCCCAGAGAGGTACGTACTCTGTCCAAGATCACACAGCTGGCCAGTCATGGAGCCAGAATCCAAACCCAGGGCAGGCTGCCTCTGTAGGCCACACTCCTTCACCTTTTTCTTATATTACATTTTTAAGAATCAAACTTTTTTTAAAAAAGAGACTAATTTGAGGGAAACTCCTGTGGCTCCCCCCCACCCCCTGAATAAATCTGCCCTCTCTCGTCACTTTCCACCCATGTCCTGAGAGCAGGCGGGGTGGGGTGAGGTGGAGGGAGAGGAGGCTGGGCCCCAGGAGAGGCAGAAGCAACCGCTTCAGGAGGCCCCAAGAAGCCAAGCAGGGCTGGGTGGGGTAGGAAGGGAGGCTGCTACAGCCCATGGCTTCGCAGGCCAAAATAGCTCAAGGGGAAGTGGGCAGTTTTCATATGAACAAGGTTTGCAACAAGCTGGCTGTGGGAAAGCCCTTGGTGCTGGGCTATGCGGGTCTCAGCGTCCGAGAAAGGCCCACTCTCCCAGCACTTGTCATACTGTAGATGGGGAAACTGAGGCCCACCAGGACTGCAGGGCAGGCTGGGGGTGGGGGTAGAGTGGGAGGTCCTGGGCTGAGCCCTGGAAAGGCTTTAGCTACCGGGCTCTGCTCTGGGGTATGTTTGGTTTTCCCCAATAACCTTGGCCTTCGGATGAGGCTGCCGAGAGGCCTCTAATGGAGGCTCTCAATGCTCAGGTGACTGATGCAGGGTCTGGCAGCCCTTGTTCCAGGGTAGCAGTTGGGGATGGTGAAGGCCAGGCCACCTGTTGACAGAGCTGGGCACAGGGAGCTCCCCAGGGCCTACACCTCTCAGAACCCCAGCAGGGAGTTGGCAGGCTGGGCTGGGGATTAGAGAGGGGGTGGCAGGGACAGTTTCCATTTGGCCTGGGGCAGGACCTGCGTACACTTGCCTGTGAAGCCTCCCCCATGCTCCCGTAGTCCAGTGTCTGGGATGCTACAGTTCTATTTTACAGATGAAGAAACCTAGGCTCATGGGCATGGACCTGGGGAGCCACTGTCCTGGCCCCTCACCAGTCTCTGGAAGGGATGGGACCACCCCGGAGGCTTCCTAGGACTGCAGGCCGGGCAGGGGAAGGTAAGGGCCGGAAAGCAGCTGAAGCCCCAGGAACCGCTGCCCCTCTGGGTGCTACAGGGTCCAGGGTGAGGGCTCCCTAGTCAGGGGTGCCAGGGCAGGACTGGGGCCAAAGGAGGATTGCCAGGCGTCCTGACATCTTCCCACCTCCCCCAGCGGGCCGCCAAGTGCTCAAGCTGGGCCCGTGAGGCGACTCTAACCCCCATAGGGTGTCGGGGATGGGGGTGGCCTCGGGACCCCTGTCCTCAAGGCCGAGCTCCTGACACTCCTGGGAAAGGCTTACCTGGGAGCTGAAGGCTCTTCACTGCGGCCACCTCATCTTGAGCCCACACACCTGCTGGAACTGACACTAACGCCACAGACACTTGCGGGCAGCAGGCAAGGCAGCAGACTTCCTGTCAGCGACTGAATCATCCCTCACATCCGCTGCCCTGCCGGACAGGCTCTGCTTGAACAGAGGGAGACACAGGCCCGGGGGGGGCGGGGGGGGCGTGGGAATTGAG